TTCATGATGGTGATGATTGTGATGATAGTGATGACGATGGTGATGGTGATGATGAGGATGTGGAGGAAGGAGAAGAAGAGGAGGAGGACGAGGGACTATGAGGAGGAGGAGGAGGAGGAGGAGGAGGAGGAGGAGGATAAGGAGGAGGGCGAGGACGAGAGCAAGGCGGAGGAGGAGGAGGAGGAGGAGGAGGAGGAGGAGGGAGGAGGAGGATGAGGAGGAGCAGGAGGAAGAGGAGGAGGAGGAGGAGGAAGAGGAGGAGGAGGGAGGAGGAAGAGGAGGAGGAGGAGGAGGAGGAAGACCAGTGTGAACCCAAGAGTCATCAGCGATGATGGAATTAACCCTCCCTCCAGGCTCCCTCTTCATAGGCCCCTACAACGGTTCATTTCAATTGAGGGCACTGCTTCGTTGGAAGACAACCGTTTGAAGATCCTGAAGCATGCCAGAACATTGTTCTCGGTATTTCAACGCCACGGATCAACCTTACTGCTGCGTCTTGACGATCCCGAACGCCAATTTTGGGATTTCAGCACCGCGAGTCAACATAAAGGTTGCACCCGCATAGTCCTGCACCATTCCAAAACACCATTTCTGGTACGTTGATCATGGGAATCCGTGAAACTCTTGCTGCATTTTTGAAACGATGGTGCGCGGCGATAAGACGAGAGGCACATTTTGAAAAGGAGCCACATTTTGAAACGGAGGAGGAGGGAGGACGAGGAGGAGGAGCAGGAGGAGGAGGAGGAGGAGCATGGAGAAGGTGGAGGAGGAGGAAGAGAAGGAGGATGAGGAGAAGGAGGAGGAGGAGGAGGAGAAGCAGGAGAAGGACGAGGAGGGGGATGGCGGTGATGCTGATGATGCTCCTCCTGCTTATCCAGATCTTCCTTCTCGTCCTCCTCCTCCTCCTCCTCCTCCGCGTCCTCCTCCTCCGCGTCCTCTTTTTCCTCCTCCTCCTCCTTTCCATCCTCCTCCTTCCCGTCCTTCTCCTCCTCCTCCTCCATCTCCATCTCCCTCTCCCTCTCACTCTTCCCCTTTCTCTGCCCTCGTCCGTATCCTCCTCCTACTCCTCGTTGTCGTTTTCCTTCTCGTCGACGTCTTCATTGTCCTTGTCTTACCTCCCTCGTCAGGAACAGGCGGCGCGCCCTGGTGTTCATGGAGTCGCCCCTTGACGACCTTGGGCCCTCGCTCTTCGATGCGCTAAGGTGGGACCGAGACCCGCAGCCCTACGAGGAGGAGGTTCTGAAGATGCAGCAGGACCCTCCCCCAAATGCCGTCGGTGCTGGGATTTGTGATGGTGCAGGAGGCGGAGGAGCTACTCCCCAATCTGTACTGTTTCTATTCTTGGCATTCGTATCATCATTACTTGTCGTTCTATTGCTCGTCCAGTGCGAGCAGTCACATCATTGACTTTTGCTGGTCGAGCCTGGATTGCTCTTGTCGCCACGGCTGGGTCTGCCCCGAACTCGAAGCCAGGACGTAGGCCAGGAGGAGGGAGGCGAGTGAGGGCGGGGTCGGGGGAACGGATGGCGAGGAGATGGGGGCACCCCTCTCTTCGCCCGACCTTCTCACAGTGTTTTTTTTGTTTCCCTGTCGGGGTCCTCGGTGCCCGCCAGTCGTTCGCCGCCAGCCGTGGCCCTCCCCCCCCCTCTCGCATTGGCGCCATTGTGGGAGGCGCCGGACGCGATTCTCGTGACGGCGACAGAGAGGAAGAGGGAGAGAGAGAGAGAGAGAAGCAGGAACAGGGACAGGAACACGAACAGGAAGAGGAAGCAGAAGAGGACGAGGAAGAGGAATAGGGCGGGAGCGAGAGAGGGAGCGTGAGGACCAGACCCCCGACATCATGATTTTATCGTGACGCGACCCCCAGAGGTCCAGACCCATTCCCCGGGACCGGTTCTTCATCCCGATCAGTTTTGTTGACGGTCCCGAGGCCCAGCGAGGGCTCTCCCAGAGGTCGAAAATAGCGAATTACCTCCCGCCGTGTTTTTTCATGACTCGAGGGGTCTGGGGGGAAAGAGAGGGAGAGAGAGAGAGAGAGAGCATATGAAGAGAGGGAGAGAGAGAGAGAGAGAGCATATGAATAGAGAGAGAGAGAGGCCGAGGCCCACCGGGCGTTGCCGCAGGTCTGCCCTCCAGAGGGCCGAGCTTTCTGCCCCGAATGTCGGCCTCTGGAGATCCCCCCCCCCCGCTTCCGGCTCTCCGGGGCCGTCGAGGAGCGATCAGGTGTGAACACAGATCCTCAGAGCCCCGAATCATCAGGGGTAATTCGGGTCAGGGATAACACGGGCTTGTTTTTCGGGAATCCAAACCCGAGTTACCCCGGACCCGAGTTACCCCGGATAACTCGGGCGTCCAAGAGCCCCGAGTCGTCAGGGGTAACTCGGGTAAGGGCTAACTCGGGTTCCTTTTTCGGGAACCCAAACCCGAGTTACCCCGGACCCGAGTTACCCCGGATAACTCGGGCGCCCAAAGATCCCTGGGGAATCGGCTCGATCAAAGTGGGTACGCGGTGGGCGGCGCGGCCAGTCGGATACCCTCGGTGTCCTGTCTGGCGCGCGACCCCCTTCGCGAGACTGCGGGTCGGCCGCAGGTGACCGCGGTCGCGGCCTCAGCGGAGAAAGTGCCTTATGTCCTGTGGCTGTTGGAGGCCATGTCAGCTGCCAGAAGAGTCTCGTGTCCTGTCGCCTGTCCTCTCGTATGCGCCCCGACTGCACGAAATGAATGGGTAACAGTCGACAGCAGTTCCTGTTCCTTTTGAAAACCACTCGCGGTCGGCGTCGCTGTGGCCTGTGCGAACTCGAAGCAGAAGGCCGTGCCCAGCCTCCGCGGCCGTCGAGGAGCGGCCCGGGGCGAAAAAATCCGATCCCCGGGGGGAGGGGTCGAGACGTGCAGGGCCATAGGACTTTCGGACCCCCTCGAGGCCGCCAAAAAAGCATGTTTTTTTGTCCTACTTTTTCGGCCTCCAGGGGCCTTGCAGTCCTATGTTTTTTGTCCTAGTTTTGTTTGTTGTCCCTGGTTTTTTGTCCATGTTTTTGTCCTGTTTTTGTCCTATGTTCGGTCCTTTGGGGGCCTCGGGACCGTCAAACATAGACTCGGGATGAGAGACCGGTCCCGGGGAAGGGGCCAGATCTCTGGGGGTCGATGCTGTCACAAAGCCATGGAGGTCGGGAGTCTGGGCCTCCTCCGCAGAGGGACCCTTCGCTGGGCCCCCCCCATCGCTGGGCGCGATGCGGCAGCAGTGGCTTTCGCGTCTGGTGCTGTCCCCGAAGGGCCCCCCCTTAGGCAGCGCACCAAAGGTCACTCTTGCCTGCGTGTAGCCGACCGGGGTTAATCCTTCAGAGCGTTCTGGAGTGCTCAGAGCGTTCTGGAGCGCTTCGGGGATCGGCCGCGGCGCCCGACATACATCTCCCAGAACCGCCCGATCTCTGAGATCCCCGGAGTATCCCAGTTCGATTTTGTCGCGTTCCTGGCTCTGTCTAAGCAAGCGCCCCCGGAGTCCCACGTCACGGGCAAATCGAGGTCTGGCGGAAGCGCTTGTGAACACTCGTCAGCGGTGTACTGGCGACGGGAAGGGACCGCGTCTAGCTTGCCTCTCTACTATCCCCCCTCTCTCTCATCTACCACCTCTCTCTCTGTCTCTCTGTCTGCCTGCTTGCCTGCCTGTCTGTCTGTGTGTCTGTCTGCCTTTGTCTGTGTCTGTGTCTGTGTCTGTGTCTGTGTCTGTGTCTGGCTGTCTGTGTCTGTGTCTGCGTCTGTGTCTGCGTCTGTGTCTGTGTCTGTGTCTGTGTCTGTCTGTCTGTCTCACTCTCTTTCTCTGTCTTTTCCCTCTTCCCGAACATGCGTGGATCGCCGAAGACGACGATAAACATGACGTCTGCGACAAGAATGATGATGATGATGATGATGATGATGATGATGATGATGATGATGATGATGATGATGATGATGATGATGATGATGATGATGATGATGATGATGGTGATGATGATGATGATGATGATGATGAAGATGAAGGATGATGATGATGATGATGATGCTGATGCTGATCATGATGATGATGATGCTGATGAGGATGGACGGCTGTGACAACGATGATGCTGATGTTGCTGACGATGAAGATGCTGATGATGATGCTGCTGATGATGATGATGATGTTGATGATGAGGGTGACGATGGTAAGAATGATGATGCTGCTGTTCACGATGATGATGAGGCTGATGCTGAAGGTGAATCTGACAATGATGATGATGAGGAGGAGGAGTAGGAGGAGGACGGTGACGAATACGTGTGATGATGCTGATGGGGAGGAGGACGAGGAAGACCATGACGATGATGCTTATGATTGTTATGCTTTTGATGATGATGACGATGATGATGATGATGCTGATGATGATGATGATGATGATGATGATGCTGATGATGATGATGATGATGATGATGATGACAAGCACACATTTGTTAATACTGATAGTGCTGTTGCTGATGTTTATGATGGCGGTGGTGTTGATGGTGATGATGGTGATGATGATGCCGATGATGATGGTGATGATTCTTATAATGCGGCTGCTGATGATGATTCTGATCATGTGAGGAGGAGAGGGGACGATGGCGGAGGGGCAGAACAGTAAGGACCAGAGTTGACCCCATATGTGCCGACGGTGCTGCAATACACCCTTCCGTCCTAAGCCCCCTCCAGTTTAACTTTCACAAGATTTTTTCACTGCGGGAAAAGCTCTGTTGACAGACGATCGCTTCATGAGTCTGTGAGTTAGTCGGGTTCTCGTTTTGCAAATGATCCATATTTTTCATTCTTCCAGGTGCAAAGAACGAATCGAGCTGTGGCAATTCAATTTAAGGGGCTCCGTTTTGAAAGGCTTGTGCGCTCCACCCGTGTAAGCGTTACACGAGTTCAAAGTTCTTATGTTGATGTTTGAGAATGCCCCGGGCGAGAACCCTCTTATAGAAAAGGAGGCGCCTTGCATCTGTGTAGCTGTCGCACATTCTTGTCTTCGGGTTTTTTTTGGGGGGGAAGTCCTGATGCGGGGGCCCAGGCGGAAGCTCTCAGGACGAGTGTGCGCGGCGCGCCGCTGGGAGGGCTCCAGTCCGACCTCCCCCCTGTGTGCAACTGGCGGAAGCTCTCAAGACGAGCGCGCGCGGCGCCGAGGCGACAGCCCCGTTTTGAGAGGGGGTTGTGCTCGAGCCGTGAGGCCGTGGGGAACATCGCCGCTCGCGATCGGAGGCTGCGAGGACGACCCCGGCGTGGCGGCCGGCCCCGCCCTTGTCGACACGTCTGGTGGTGCGACAGGGGGGGATCATCTGAAAGGAAGAGGCGTTGAGGTTGTGGAGGAGGACGGGGAGGAGGAAGAAGAAGAAGAAGACGACGCATAGGCAGAAGAAAAGGAAGACGAGCACGAAGAAAAACAACAAGACGAATCATAAGAAGGAGACGAATGAGACTAAGAAGAAAAAAAAAAAGACCAGGAAGAAGACGGGCAGGATGAGGGAGCAGTCCGAGGAGCCGCAGGAGGGGGCAGGAGGCGGACCGCAGAGCACACCCAGGACGCGCCAAGGATGCTGCAGTGCATCCCTCCGTCCCCGAAGCAGTCCCCGGCAGCCTCGTGCTTCCCCACGCGCGCGTGGTGCCTCTGCGGGAGGTGCCCCGCTGGAAAAAGACGAGCGCCCGGCCGGCCTGCCACTCCGGCGACACACGCGTCCCGTGCGAGAAAACGATCCGCATCCATCTCTCCAGCTAGATCGCACGCGAATGGGTGGCTCAAGCTGTTTGGCACAACGCGCTCAAGCGTCGAGGCTGCGTGCAGGGTTGCTGGAGTCCTGCAGTGCCAAAAGAAGTCCCTGAGTTGGGAAACGTACTCGCTCTTTTCACTTGTTCCAAGTGTTCGGAGACAGTCTCGTTCTGAGCAGGATCTGGCCTCCAGACGTGCGTCAGCGTGGTGCAGCTTCGAAGTTCTGGTCGTGGCATCTGCGGATGTCAGGCGGGATCTCCGTTGCGAAAGCGAGCTACCCTTCATCCTTCTAGCTGTTGCACAGCTGGGAACTTCGGATCGTAGGGGTCGAGGAAGTCTTCACGCGACAACCGTACTGTGAAAACGAACAGGCCTCCATCCATGTAATTGGTGGAGGTTGTAAAACGAATGTACGCGGCGCTAGGGTGAGAGACGCATGTTGAAAAACACGCCTCAATCTTTGTAGCGTTACATTCTGCTTGTGGCTTTGAAGACGAATGTGAGCTGCGCCCAGGCGACACATCCGCAGTTTGGAAAACCACCGGCCCTTCATCTTTGAAACCTCCGCACTTTTCCTTTGAAGTCCCAAGCTGAAGCGCCAGGCCTGGCTTACGGACACGTCGGCTCGTGAGACAGGGGGGAGTTTTGGATCAGAAGAGGGACAAAGGTGATGACGGAGGAGGATGGTGAGGAGGAGGATCGCGCGTTGGCCAGTTCATTCGACTACGGTACTTCTGGTCGTGTATCCGCAAGCGCAGCCCGATGCAGTCCATCGCTTGTGTATGTATTTGCATGTATCGGGCCATGGCGACGGTTCCGGAACGTGTCATCGTCCAACATCGCCAGGATCGAATGTCCTCGCTTGCGATCGTTCTTTCCTTCTCCTTTTACATTTCCTCTTTGTTTAGTCATCTTCCTCTGCCTATCTTCTCGTAGCCTCTATCGCATCGAAGCCGTTCTGGTACACGTCGCTCCCAGTTGTGCACCTGGTGGAAAAGTGTTCTCTGCTGGATCTGGATACGGCGGCCGTGGATCTGGGCAGCGCATTGGAAGGTTTACCTCGTTCGAGGCTGGAGCGAGTGGCGGCCGCGCGGGCAAGTCATTACCGTCACTCTCCCCGGCAGGATCCCACGAGGCGGAAGCAGATCTTCAATGGCTTCATGGCGAACGGCGGGCACCGGCGGGGAGGCAGCCAACGCTGGCTTTTGAGAGGAGGAGGAGGAGGAGGAGGAGGAGGAGGAGGAGGAGGAGGAGGAGGAGGAGGAGGAGGAGGAGGAGGAGGAGGAGGGGGTACCAGCGCCCTCTAGTGGAGCCGTGCGTCGGTTATTCAACTGTAGCACCGTAGGCGCTATGCCCCACCGTGGGATGGAGGGGGAGTCCTGGTCGTACCCAGACGATTCTTTTTTCCAGTTTCAACCATGTATGCTGGGCATGCTTTTGCTGGGGAGCGTAGTCGAGGGCTGCCCCTATGGATACACGGGCTGGGGAGTACTCTGTTCCCTGGGACCCTTTCCGAACTTACAGAATTTTCACAGGAGGCACCCCCCACCAAGGGTCGAACTTTGCACACTGGGCGGGGTACTCGTCTGCCGGCTCGCATGCGGTCAGGTGGAGCCCCTTGCCCTAGCATCTGCAGGGATGGGCCTGTCCACGCGACTGCTGGTCTCCACAGCGGGCTTTGGTGTTCCACCACCACCACCACCATAAATTGGAGAGGGGGGGAGGAGGATGATGATGAGGAGGAGGAGGAGGAAGA